CTCAAGGAACTTGGACATTATTCCCTTAATTTATGAACAGTGCATCTCCTCACTGGCCTATTCTGTGGCATGTTTTCATGATCAGCATCACAGTGACATTTTGGTCCTACCCTGCTTCACTGTTAGTCAGATATTCTTATAGAACATGTGCTGAATGTATCAGACATAATAATTGAAGATGCCCTTATTTGGTTTGTGAAAAATCTGGTCTGAGAATACCAAGTAGAGGATGATCGTAATTTGGTTTGTTTGGAGCCCATTGAGCTCCTTGGGCAAAGAGATGCAGTTGTATTGGATTAGACATGACCTTCAGAGCTATTCTGGATGAGTTAGGCTTGTAATGAGATTGTGTGGGATCAAAATGGATACATCACGAGCCACAGACGACATGACAGCCCATACACCAGTCACAGCAGGTGTGTAAATCGCCACTGAAGAAATCCTGCACGCTTTCGATATTTTCATCATTCTCAAGCTGTTTTATTTACACACCTGGGACAGTTATAGATGACCTGTTCATCAGTAACATGCTATTATAAGCCTTAATCCTTGTTGTGTTCCTTTTGACGCTAATGGAGGTTAAAGTAGAGTTGTTCATGTTATAGGACATGCTGTCAGAGGTTGTTTTTTTGAAAGTCTGCAAGTTTTGTTAAAGTGGAATCCTCAGTCTCAGGAGTTTTTGAAAGTGAGTGAGTGAGCATAGTTTTACGCCACTTTTAGCAATGTTCGAGCAATATCACGGCAGGGGACACCAGAAATGGGCTTCACACATTGTACCCATGTTGGGAATCAAACCCGGGTCTTCGGCGTGATGTGCCAACGCTTTAACCACAAGGCTACCCCACCAGCCCTTTTTGAAAGTACACAAGTTGAATGATAATGATATTGTCTAAACATTGGGAATAGATTCTTGTCATTGATTACCTCGATTAAGTGCAAATATTTTGATATACTGTATATTATCGTAGATTAGCCAATCTCATAGATAAGCCAGGGTCCTAACTTGACTCTTAAAATCAGTATCAAGATTTTTAGCTCGCCATCACCAAAGGCCCAGATGGAATCTTTTTTTAGCATTATCAACTGATAATTTACCATGATTCAGATTGAATATTGACATGTGTAGCACTAAGCAACACTCACTGATGCAGTCCCTTTGATAACGTTTTATGTACCCTGGGTGAATAATTCGAGACATTATCATGCATTTGGTGTATGGTATGAATTGAGTGTTCATCCCTTAATGGCCATTAAAACTCCATGCACAAATTAATGGAGGCAAGCTCCTCACAGCATGGTACCTTGAACCATTGGAGCAGTGATGCTTGGCAATGCTGATGGTACCAGTAATCTCTTCATATTGGCTAATGGGGAAGAGTCGATATGGCATTGTGGAAATATGTATTAGTTTACTTCTGTGGTGAGCACCTGGCACCATACATGAAACTACGTACAGAGGCGGAACGGCTGGAATTAGTTGCTGAGGGTCACGCTTACTGAATCATAGTGTTAATGGCATGTCAGCATGACATCTCATGACATGTCATGACTGCATCAACAGCTACAGTGACATGTCAGTCAGAAACAAATAGGAACCTGGGTTGGAGAGTATCCAGGATGTGATTGTTGAAAGATGCAATGACTAGCCATGAATTGGCTGTTCGGGACTGTGACTTGGGTGGTCGTGTGGGTGACTGGTTGATTACACGTGCAGTATGGGATGTTGCTCCCAATGTCTACCATTATCATAAAATACATTTATTAAGAGATATCAGTGAACTAATCTAATGTAAGTGCTGTTTCATTTGCTCTTGTAACAAGACAATTGGCATGGTTTCTTCTAATTGCATTAACAGCATTACGTAGCCATCAGCAACATTGCTGGAAATAAGCTAGGAAAAACAATGGCTTGTTCCTAAGATCAGAGATGCCAACCCATACGATTTTATCATATTCGTTACGAAAAAACAACACAAAATACTCGACTATGATGGCAGTAAAAATATACGAATATTAACAAATAATACATTAAATTAAATTATCAAATAGCATATGTACCATACACAGTAAGTTTCAATGACATTATATTCAGTATCATGCTATATGTGGATACTTACTGCTGATTTAGGTGAGTACAATGTTAATAACAAGGTCTTAGACTATATATTCACGTTTTATATTCAATATGAAAATTCTTTTGAAAAGTTAATACTAATTTTGGCCTCAAACTACTAATTTTTGCATCAGTTTTTGGCCAAAATACTAATTGGGCTAAATTAGGGTTGGCATCTCTGTAAGATGTCCATATTTGACTTTTGACCACCTCTTTCTGTTTGTTAATTTAATCATTTGCCTGAAGTTAATTTTGATTCAGAACCAAATTGCATAAATTGTCCTTGTTTCAAATATTAACTGATGTCATCCAAAATGTATCTCAGCCAAATATTTAGAACAGAACCAGAGAAGTGGAGTTGCATTGCTCGGGTATGACAGCAGTCGATATTAATGGGATCAGTTCCCATTTGGCCTCGATAAAGTGTCTTGGTTTGTCTGCACCATACCTCTGCTTCTGGGTTCCATCAAATTAGAACGAGAAAACCTGTCTCAAACCTTTTCTTCTGTATCAGGCTGACACACTGTCATATAGTGAGTGAGTATGGTTTTACGCTGCTTTCAGCAATATTCCAGCAACATCACGGCAAGGGACATCAAAAATGGGCTTCACACATTGTACCCATGTGGGGAATCGAACCTGGGTTTTCGGCCTGACAAGTGAACGCTTTAACCACTAGGCTAACCCACCGAACCTGAATATAACTGGAATACTGTTCAAAGCTGTGTTTAGCCTAACTCATTCACTCACTATTTGGTCTCATATGTTCTTGGGATGCAGTCTAGTCATTGTGCTTTTTGTTTGAAACGATTTATCTGTGTTGTCAGTAAGTATTCCTCGTCATGATTCCCGACCTACTGACTGGAGGTACTGGAAAAGTACTGTCCATCAAGACTACTTATTACAGAAAATTAATCTCTCCATTGCAAGTGTCATTCTTTGGACCTTTGGACAAACATCTTGTGCATTCTGTTGTCATTCACAGTAGAAATCTCTCCTAGCTGAACTCATGACCTCTTATGCTCTTCCTGTGTTCAAGTCTTAGCTTAAAACTTATCCCTTTCCCACGTACTACTCCTGATTGGATCCTTTTCATCACGTCAGCTTTGAGCAATGCTGTCATGTCATAAGACAGTTGTCAATATGGTAGGTGGCTAGTAAGACACTTAACTATTGTGAGAAAATATCAGTTGTGTTGGCCAAATACTGTGAACATCTGAATCAATAATGTCCAGTTCTTGGAACTATGACAATGACAATGTGGAGTTAGTTGAGTATGACTTACTCTTATATAACATATATTTAGATGAATCTGACAGGAGTGTCGTGGAAGTCGTGGTGGCTGAGAGGGTTAGGCGGCTGACTTTGTGTGCTGGGGATTTGGTGCCTGTGGGTTCGAATCCCAGATAGGACTCAACCCAAAAAGTACTAGAATTTGTACTTTACTAAGAAAGTGTAATCCCAATTATAACATATGTGGACTCTGACAGGTTCTTGCATACAGTTTAGGTTTAGATTGACTTGAGTGAGTCAGTGAATTATAGCTAGTTGGTTAAACATTACTTTGACAGCATTTCAGTTTATCACGACATGCTAGCCTTTGATGGGATAGGAGAGGCTGCAGTGATGCAGGGCTTATACATTTTCAGCTTTGGTGAAAGCTCTACACTTAGACTCAAGTACTAAATCAGGGAAGATAACTCAACTAATCGGTTTTGTAATGCATGTGTGGCAGACCTTGAAGAAAAATAACAATGTCTTCATTTGACTTCGCTGATGCTAAATCACAAAATGTTGATTATGTGGCATATTATTGATGAAATTGGGTACTTGAATTGAGGTTGTGTTTTTAAACATATTTGAGTACTTAAGCGGGCTAGTGTGCTCAACGGGGCGGTGGGGTAGCCTAGTGGTTAAAGTGTTTGCTCGTCATGCCGAAGACCCGGGTTCGATTCCCCACATGGGTACAATGTGTGAAGCCCATTTCTGGTGTCCCCCGCCGTGATATTGCTGGAATATTGCTAAAAGCGGCATAAAACCATACTCACTCACTCACTCACTAGTGTGCTCAACATCTGGATTCAGTGTTGTGTTGCCCTGTTCTTATGCCGTTAATACCCACATGGTTGAAGTACATCTACCGTAATGCAGGGTTTGAAGTTACAGTTCCACTATGTCAGTGCACTGTAGTGTTTACAGGTTGGAAAGTTCATCTTTGCCCAAATTCTGTGCTTTTCATTAAACAAATGGAATGAACAAATCAAAATGTTTCAGAGAGATTTAGTTCTTCACTCAGAGCATTCATTTTAGAACTGACTTCATTACAACTTTGTAAATCAAAAAAACATATTGAAGTCAATTCTTATTTAGAAATATGTGAACAATAATAATTTAACAGGTTTCATATTTAAATAATTACAACACTGTGGAAAACAGAATGAAATAAGTTCAGTTGTTCTGTAAAATTATGCAACACAAGTTCCACCCATTCTTTAATATACCAATCAGGAGTCTGTTGGTAGGTGTGGCCTAAATGTTTTCAGTTTATGGAAACGAATTCAGAAATAATTGCTTGTGAGCCATCAAATGCCACAGGATTACTTACAGTTTATTTATTTTTATGTGATCTGACAATGGCCTGCACCTTTCAGTATGTTCAGGATATGCACATTTAATGTCACTCATGCAGCATCAAGACTACACAGACGGCGTTTAATGACATTGTACCCCATGGCTAGTTAGACTGGGGCCAAGGAAATTTTATGATCATCAATTTGCAAGTGACTTTTATGTCAAAGATCAATTTACACTTGCCCACACTTGCCCTGAATTCTGACTCAGACCTGTAAATGGTTCCAGTTAACCATTTGACTGATTCTCTTTTCAGCTGCAGCCTATGATCACTCGAACGCAGACTGTTTTGGGTGTGCCATATTGAGCCATGGACTGGAAGGCCGAGTGTACGCCACTGATGGTTACATCTCCCTTGAGCTCCTAGTTATGCCATTCAAGGGAGACAGGTGCCCATCTCTTGTGGGAAAACCCAAGCTTTTCTTTCTCCAGGTTCGTATTGCCATATTACATCAAGAGACGCAGGTGCCCAGTTTAGGAAAGGTGGATATATATGGTTGTCTACAGAATTCAAGTGCTCCTCTCACTGAGCTGCTATGCTAGTTATGTCATCCAAGAGAGAAATACACCCATGTTTCTGTTGGAAAGCCCAAGTTTTTTTTCTGCAAGTTAATACACCAAGTAAGGTTAAAGGAGTCTGGTACCTGATTTAAAGAAGAATTCTTTATCTTATTGTTAGGATTGATGTATCGGGCAGATTAAAAGATTCAAGTGCTCCACACCATTAAGAGGCTGCCTATGAAACAGGTACCCTACATAATCAAAATGAGAATATAGGTATGCGTTATCACAGTGATACGTACCCTGGTTAATAAAATAAATAAAATAAAGAAGCCCAAACCAACTCTTTTTCAAAGTAGTTTGTTAGTTTGGGGCAAATCACTTGGAAAAATTGTTATATTTCCCACTACAAGTCTCATATATATTCAGATGGATATAAGGTATTTTTCAACCACTAAAGGCGAACTCATCAAGAAAAGATGGAAAAATTGGCCTGAGCCAACTGAACACAAAGCTCATCAGTGAATGCAATGGACTTTGCTCTCTCGCGTGTTGAAGGAGCATGCTTGTGGAAAGTCCAACATGAATTAAGCGCCTTTCAGTAAAACAAAACCAATAAACGGCTTCCACTGATGACTTCCTGTCCTCCTCCCGGAGGTAATATTGTGGAATCTTTGACAGTGTATGACAGACATCTGTGTAAATGAAACTGCTTGTCCAGCCACACGGTGCACCAGACTGTATATCCTCAACTTTTGTGGATGCGGAGATACTGCTTTAAACACCAATGTCTCAGCTGTGAAGACTTCAGGATGTTAATATCTTTCCAAGTAGATTTGTGAGATTGTTCCACTTTGTCGCTGTCATCAATAAACTTTACAGACCAGGTGTACATTGGTACATAAAATGTTGGGAAAAATCAATTCTTGTTCTGGCTCATTTACATCTTTTTTTCTTTTTCTTGTGTGTATATTGTGACAAGACATGGACAGGTAGCTCTAACAACACTTTGGTATAATTCTGTGTGTTGTGATATGCTTGCTATCACATACATGCACACATGCACATGTGTAGGTGTACACACGCACACATAGTGACCAAAATACTATAAGAGAGACATAAGGTTAGACACATGCAAACACCCACATGCACATGCATGGACACACACATACACACGTGTGCAGGCTCACACACACAAATACACATTAAACAAAATATATATAGGGAGCATTTACATACCACAAGATTACTTCCAGTACACATGTTTGAACAGTAGTCATTCAAGATACCTGTGACCCAAATAGCATTCAGACGTTGGCCCAATGTTGGCAATGGTTTTGCCAATATTGCCAACGTTGTGCCAACGTCCGAATGCTATCTGGGGTATGCTGTTTCAACTGAAAATATGATTAATTTCATTTCTCCTCTTTCAGTAGAGTGGTTTCAGATTTCCAATCATGATTTCTTCGAGGGAAGTACAACTGTGACCAAACTTCTCATGTTACTATGTTTACATTGATTAAGTTTGTGTAATATCATTCAAAACTTTCAGTCATTACCTAAATCACAAAAATAGAATCAATTTGGACTGATTTTGTAGAAGCCAGGAACAATGGAATGCAAGATATCAGTAATGCCTTATGTGTGTCTGCCAGTATATCACATTTATACAATACACATTCTAATCCTTAACAGTGATAATAACATCTCCAAGATAGAAGCCATGCCTGGTATGATTCCTTCCGCTAACCTATTTTTTTTGACAGACATTTTACAGAGACTATATATAATTCTTCCTTGATCTCCATATTCATGAAGAAACCCAAGTGAAAACTTGCTCTCCATATTTCTTGTCTGTGTAGCACATGCTGTTATTAATGACCTCATCTCTTACATGAAATACTGAATACCACGAAAGACGTGTTCCCCTTTGGTAATTCCTTTGTCTGTGAACCAGACACCTTGTCTTCGATGTTGTACTGTTCTTGGCCACAAAAGTTATCTTCTGTGTGTGGTGCTGCATAATGACGTCCCATGTGAGTCTGAATGTTAGCCATCCATTACCACAACTCTGGACGTGTGGGATGCTCGCAGTATCTTAATACCATTTCTAGTTATATTCAAGATAATATTTCAACAAGGGTCACAGCCTGCACCAAAATGTATTGGGATGTTAACCTCAGAATATTTTCAGGACTTCATAGAGTTAGATTACTGTCAGTTTGACAAAGGGGGAACAAGGGTGTATCGTGCGGGGGAACAATGGTGTATCGCACAGAGGAACAAGGGTGTATCACACGGGGGAACAAGGGTGTATCGTGCGGGGGAACAAGGGTGTATCGCACGGGGGAACAAGGGTGGATCGTGCGGCGGAACAAGTGTGGATCGCACAGGGGAACAAGGGTGTATCGCACGGGGCAACAAGGGTGTATCGTGCGGGGGAACAATGGTGTATCGCACAGGGGAACAATGGTGTATCGCACAGGGGAACAAGGGTGTATCACACGAGGGAACAAGGGTGGATCGTGCGGCGGAACAAGTGTGGATCGCACAGGGGAACAATGGTGTATCGCACGGGGGAACAAGGGTGTATCGCATGGGGGGAACAAGGGTGTATCGCACGGGGGAACAAGGGTGTATCACACGGGGGAACAAGGGTGTATCATGCGGGGGAACAATGGTGTATCGCACAGGGGAACAATGGTGTATCGCACAGGGGAACAAGGGTGTATCACACGGGGGAACAAGGGTGTATAACACGGGGGAACAAGGATGTATCGTGCGGGGGAACAAGTGTGGATCGCACAGGGGAACAAGGGTGTATCGCATGGGGGAACAAGGGTGGATCGTGCGGCGGAACAAGTGTGGATCGCACAGGGGAACAAGGGTGTTTCGCACTGCGGGACAAGGGTGTATCACATGGGGGAACAAGGGTGTATCGTGCGGGGGAACAATGGTGTATCGCACGGGGAACAAGGGTGTATCGCATGGGGGAACAAGGATGTATCACACGGGGGAACAAGGGTGGATCGTGCGGCGGAACAAGGGTGTATCGCACGGGGGAACAAGGATGGATCGTTCGGGGGAACAAGGGTGTATCACACGGGGGAACAAGGGTGTATCGCACAGGGGAACAAGGGTGTATCACATGGGGGAACAAGGGTGTATCGCATGGGGGAACAAGGGTGTATCACATGGGGGAACAAGGGTGTATCGTGCGGGGGAACGAGGGTGGATCGTGCTGGGGAACAAGGGTGTAACACACGGGGGAACAAGTGTGGATCGCACAGGGGAACAATGGTGTATCGCACAGGGGAACAAGGGTGTATCACACGGGGGAACAAGGGTGGATCGTGCGGCGGAACAAGTGTGGATCGCACAGGGGAACAAGGGTGTATCGCGACGGGGAACAAGGGTGTATCACACGGGGAACAAGGGTGTATCGCAGGGGGAACAATGGTGTATCGCACAGGGGAACAATGGTGTATCGCACAGGGGAACAAGAGGGTATCACACGGGGAACAAGGGTGGATCGCACAGGGAACAAGGGTGTATCGCACGGGGGAACAAGGGTGTATCACACGGGGGAACAAGGGTGTATCATGCGGGGAACAATGGTGTATCGCACAGGGGAACAATGGTGTATCGCACAGGGGAACAAGGGTGTATCACACGGGGGAACAAGGGTGGATCGCACGGGGGAACAAGGGTGTATCGCACGGTGGAACAAGGGTGTATCACACGGGGGAACAAAGGGTGTATCGTGCGGGGGAAACAATGGTGTATCGCACGGGGAACAATGGTGTTTCGCACAGGGGAACAAGGGTGTATCACACGGGGGAACAAGTGTGGATCGTGCGGCGGAACAAGTGTGGATCGCACAGGGGAACAAGGGTGTATCACGGGGCAACAAGGGTGTATCGTGCGGGGGAACAATGGTGTATCGCACAGGGGAACAATGGTGTATCGCACAGGGGAACAAGGGTGTATCACACGGGGGAACAAGGGTGGATCGCACAGGGGAACAAGGGTGTATCGCACGGGGGAACAAGGGTGTATCACACGGGGAACAAGGGTGTATCATGCGGGGGAACAAGGGTGTATCATGCGGGGGAACAATGGTGTATCACACGGGGGAACAAGGGTGTATCATGCGGGGGAACAAGGGTGTATCACACGGGGGAACAAGGGTGTATCGTGCAGGGGAACAATGGTGTATCGCACAGGGGAACAATGGTGTATCGCACAGGGGAACAAGGGTGTATCACACGGGGGAACAAGGGTGGATCGTGCGGCGGAACAAGTGTGGATCACACAGGGGAACAAGGGTGTATCGCATGGGGGAACAAGAGTGGATCGTGCGGCGGAACAAGTGTGGATCGCACAGGGGAACAAGGGTGTATCGCACTGGGGGACAAGGGTGTATCACACGGGGGAACAAGGGTGTATCGCACGGGGAACAAGGGTGTATCGCATGGGGGAACAAGGATGTATCACACGGGGGAACAAGGGTAGATCGCGCGCACGGTGGAACAAGGGTGTATCACACGGGGGAACAAAGGGTGTATCGTGCGGGGGAAACAATGGTGTATCGCACAGGGGAACAATGGTGTTTCGCACAGGGGAACAAGGGTGTATCACACGGGGGAACAAGGGTGGATCGTGCGGCGGAACAAGTGTGGATCGCACAGGGGAACAAGGGTGTATCACGGGGAACAAGGGTGTATCGTGCGGGGGAACAAGGGTGTATCGCACAGGGGAACAATGGTGTATCGCACAGGGGAACAAGGGTGTATCACACGGGGAACAAGGGTGGATCGCACAGGGGAACAAGGGTGTATCGTGACGGGGAACAAGGGTGTATCACACGGGGAACAAGGGTGTATCATGCGGGGAACAAGGGTGTATCATGCGGGGGAACAATGGTGTAA